TGTGCTTGTGCTTCACCTCTGTGCCATGTCTCAGACTAACCCAAAGTGCTGAAAACCATTTGCATCTCCTCTCTGGGCTAAATTCAGTCACACAAAGCCCTCCAGGATGGAGGCTCTGCAGCACGGTGGGATGACACAAGCAGGAGAGCTGACAGCCCAGGGCTCTCACTGATGGTGAGATAATCAGCTTTGCCCCCTCAAACTGAGGGAGTGCTACCATTTCCTAAGGCAATCTCATTGGAGCAGAAGTGCAACGGCGTCTCCAAACCCTGCAGAAGATGTTTGAAGTTATCTTTTGATAGCTGCAAACATGACTAAACCTAGCTGCTAAATGAATCTGGGGGAAAGAAAACACTTCTGTTAAAGGACAAACACAGGAAATACTGCTTTCTCTTTTGAGTCTCCCACTCTGCACAGCAGCTGAGGAAAGGGCTTCCAGGGATGATGAAAATGAACAGAAAAGTATTCAATGGGATTAAAAATAAAATCACATCTACACAAGTTGCAGGTTTCTCATTGCACATGTAATGTCAGCACTATAGAACAGATCAGCATTTGGGGTTTTTCAGACCCTAGAAAACCTCTCTGGTCAGTGACAGCAGAGCCACACACTCTGCTCCCAGAGTTACAGGTTATCTCATTCCAGAGGGCTCAAGCTCCAAGGCATGAACAAATGGCTGCTCTGCCTGTCCTAGAGCAGTGGGGAAAAACTCCAAAATATACAACTGGAACAGCTCCCACTGCCAGGCCTGGAAAAGGACAATTAAGTGTTTCTTTTCACCTTTCTAAGCAAAGGTGAGCAGCTGTCCACTCAGAGTGCCATTCACACAGCCCTGAGCTCTAAAGTTAAAAAATAGCCAGGCCATAAGGCAAGTGGTAATCACACTGCTGTCCGGTCATGTGTGAATCAGTGGGAAGCAAATTTGGAACTCATTAAACACCCTCAATATAAAGCGGAAACTTATTGACCCTAGAGACAATGAAAGAAGGTTTTCTGTCCTGTATTACTCACCATTTCACTCCCCTCACAACTGCCCCAGATGAAATTTGCACTTGCAAAATGAACATTTATTTGGGCTCTTTTGCCTTGACTGAAAAAGGTTCTTGGCATAGCATTGTGGGTTCTGCTTAATTCTAGATGGGAGCAACACACTCAAACCTCTCAAAGTCTTGACAAGGACCACTCATTTTCTCTAAACTCTTACAGGTATTGCTATGATCTCTTGTCTTATTCACTATAATTTAAGTGCAGCAGAGAACACTAGTGAACACTGTACCTGAGGCACAGCACATGCAAGGTTGGACTTTTATTAACTGTACATACAGAGCACAAGTGGGAGCCACCTAAACTATGTCCTAACATGTAAATTAATACCAGATTTCTACATTTGGCACAAAGAATTATGAATTCTTTGAAAAAATTCAATTAAGAATCAAGATGCTCAATCAGGCAATTTTCAGTGAGCAGGTACTTATTTATCACACACCACAGTCCATTAAAGGATATTTTGACAATACACTAACAAGTTGCAACAGAGACATCACAAAAGTATTTAACCTGCTATTGGGACAAGCAGCCAAGAAAACAAATAACTGTCAACAGCTGCCCAGCTAGCTCAGGAAATCAAAGAGAAGGTTTATAAAGGTCTGCAGCTGCAAACCTCTAACACCTCACACAGTGTGGCTTTGGTCTAATGAAGGGATAGAATGTCAACATCCATAAAACTGTGTGCAGCTTTCAAACTGTGTGCAGCTAAGTCCCCACAGCTCCTACTGACTTCACATGGTACTGAGACTCCTCAACACCTCAAGAGAAAACCAAACCCAAAAGTTCCAGAACATGAAGTTGCTGAGAAATCAAGCTCTGTTGTGCAATGGTTTTGTTCTACTGCACTTTGATGGCTGCTCTCCTTGTGTCTTTGTGGTCTCCCCAATACTCATCCCAAGTCTTAGATTCTGTACTTCACTTGATGCTCCCTCGCTCACTTTCTCCCCACGGGCAGGGAACAAAGTGAGCAATGCTCCTGCTCTCCCTCTCCAAAGAGATCATGTTCCAACATCTCAACCTTGAGCCTACAGCCAGCAGGTTTCCTTCAGAAGAAAAATGCCACAGAAAGAATTAAAACAACAACATCATCCCCAACTCACTGAAAGTCCTGCTAACACAAACAGCAGCAGAGGGTTCCCAGGTGACTCAATGGTGTGAGCCTCATTTCAGCTGCTCCCAGGGTCACATTCCCATCTCATCAGCCTCCTTCCCCTTCACCAAATGATGACTTCAGACAAGCAAAAGCCCTTCTAGCCCTGCACTCACTATCCCACTCAGAGAACAATGAGCCTCTTCCCCAATGCCCACACAGGAGACATTCCCAGCAGCACCCAGCCTGCCCCACCACTGAGCTGTCCTCACTGCTCCTTACAGCTTCTCATGGAGGGAACTGAGGGAACATCTCTGCCACGAGCACAGCACAAATCCCTCCCACACAGCACATTCCAAACCCACTGAGAAGATACACACATAAATCTTCTTACCTGTGCCTGTCCGTATAGGGGATGCCATATGGTGATGCACAAGAATGGGAGGTGACAATTTCTTCTGTCTCAGCTGTACAGTGACAGCTCTCTATGAACTGCAACCTTTCACAAGAAATATGAGAACATCACTGGAGAAAATCCAAACACAAGGCACTCACACACTGAGACACACTAAAGAACACAACTTCACAAACAACAGTGTGCAGGACAACATCACCTGATTGACTGAACAGGCCAGAAGTCCATCAATAATTTCAATAACAGCTGGTGGACAGACAGGGACTCAAGATCCTGAGCCCATCTGCAGAGGAGCACTATCTCATTTCTGGTCCCCACACATCCTGTAAGCACCAGCAGCATCTGGCTCCTAAACCATCACTTTCTGAAAATCCTACCTTTACAGCCTTGTCTAGTACTTGGACCCTGCAAAGCAGGTGTCCTGTCTAAGTCATGACTGGCATCAGCAGCCAGTAATTATACCAGTTTTGAATCTGCTCTGCAAGGTTCAATTTGCAATTTTCCTTTATTTTGCTAAGGAAAGGTTTACTCCTGCGTGGTGGCATAACAGTTAAAATATGCTTACTGACATTCTCACCTCAGCATTTGTTACTCTTTTTCCTAACCACGAGGATTCACTATATCTACAAATATATACTGTAATAATGTTACTGACTATATATTTACTCAGATTTCTTTTAGTTTCAATTACATGAGGAAATGGTAAGAAACTCTTCTATTTGCTAGACAACCTGAATTGAATTGAAATGCATAAAAGAGCATTTTAATATAGTTTTGTAAGAACTGTGGCCTTAAGAGCATTGCTGTTCTTCTGTGTATTTATCAAAGCATGTAATATAATCAAAGCACTTAATAGGTTCATTTAACACAAGAGGTAACAAATTTACTCATTAGATCAGCAAACTACTTGCAGGGACCTAGAAGCCCATTTTACAACGTTCTTAGATGCCTAAAAATGCAGCTAAATATTCAGTGGGAATGATCTCATTCCACTGAGATAAAAGGAAATTTGGCACCTAACATGTCTAGGCACTTAGGATACCCAGCTTACCTGGTCTGCTAAATTACAAAGCATCTGTGAAAGACTGGCCATAACTCCTTCTGCCCTTGAATTTTTACAGACCTCATTCATTGTCCTTCTAATTATAAAGTAAGAGTGATTCTTTCCCCCCATTTCCTAGCCAGTTTCTCCATTTTGAAGGCTGTATTGAAAAAAGTCACAGGTCACTTTTATCAGCTAGCTGATACTGAAGCCAATAATGAGACTTTCAGTTACGAAACACGAAAGAGCTGACAGTCAGAAACACAAACAGCAGAGCTGTTCCCCTGTAGAAGTACTTAGCACAGCACACAGCAGTGGTATCTTCAAGATCTGAAATAAGCCTGAAAATGAAAGAAAGATGTTTTCCCTGACTCACTGCAAAAACATGAAACTTCATCTCATTAATCAACATGTTCTGAATGCTTTAAAATTTATTTAAAATGTTAGGACTAAAATAGGCTGAGCATAAAATCTAATTATAAATCCTTTGAAATAGTCGAAATTTAATTACACTATAGCTAGTTCTTTTTTTTTTTCCTGTCAATGCCAGGTTTGCTGTTGCTGCAGCATTGCTCCAGCCGCAATGTGACTCGGAGACAAGCGGAATGACATGCTCATTGAAAACCCACCCAGACGCGTTCCTGTGTCACCTGCTCGGGGTGGCCCTGCTTGGGCAGGAGGGTTGGGCTGGGTGATCTCAGCGCTCCCTTCCCACCATCATGACTCGGGGATTCTGTGCAGCGGAAGGGCCCTTCAGCGGGGCCTGGAGGTCCTCAGGGGCATTAGTGCCGCACGAACCACGGCCCCGGGTCCAGCTCCGGGCCCGGCCGCAGGCGCTGGGGCGGCTCCGCCGGCGCTCCCTCCCGGGCAGCGCGGCCCCGCGGCCGCACCCACGAACCGCGCGGGCCCATGGCGCTGCCCGGGGCGCGGAGCCCTCACGGACAGAGCCAGCGCCGCGCTCCGCCGCACCACTCCTTCCTTCCCTCCTCCCCTCTCTCCCCCGCCTACCTGCGGCGGCAGCGCCCGGCTCTCCGCCGGCCGGCAGGAAACAGCGGTGGTGCCGGAGGAGGAGCCCCACGGAGCGCCCGGCCCGGCCCGCCCTCAGCTCTGCCGGCCGCGGAGCGCCGGGCTGGGCGGAGGGGTCCGCGCTCTGCGCCGCGGCCCCGGGACCTCCGCGCCTGCTCCGCCGCCCAGTGCCGCCCCCGGGGCCGGGAGCGCCGCCCGGCTGGACACGGGCTCTGTGCGGGCCCAGAGGGGCGGCAGCGTGGTCGGAGCGATGGAGCGCCCCGCCTGCGAGGAAAGGCTGGGAGAGCTGGGATTGTTCAGCCCGGAGAACAGGAGCTCGGGGTGACCTCACTGCGGCCTTCCAGTGCCTGAAGGGAAGGTGGAGGAAAGATGCCCCAAGGCTGTTCAGTAGAGCATGTAGTGACAGACAAGAGGGAATGGGTTCACACTGCCAGTAGGTTTAGATTAGAAGTTAGTGTCAGGAGATTAATTCACAGTGCCAAAGGCTTATGTCCAAAAAGGAGACAGAGGAGTAAGTAAAGCTCTGTAGCTTTATTTGAATAAAGGGAGAGGTCACAGGGCATTTCCCATGGGGTCTCTCAGATTGCTAGAGGATGCAGCCTCCTTTTTATCCTGATTTCCCAACTGCATTTCCCCCTCTCTTTCCCTGGTGGCTGAAGTACTTGAGAGGTACAGACTTTCCAAATTGCCTATTACAGAGTCTTCTAATGTGTATCCTGTTCTTTTTCTGTAAGTCCAGGAATTTATCATGGGCTTGGGTAAGCAGCAGTCTATGTCAATTAGTGGAATTCCTCTGGAATTTTTGGTTTCCTTCATTGCTTCTTTCACCTATCAGTATCTGGATTAATCTACCAGCAGGCCTACACTTTATTTGTAAAGACACCTCCCTCTCATTGCATTCTTGGATTGTGGTGAGGCATAGGGAAGGACAGGCATTGTGGGTGCCCGTCCTGGAAGTGTCCAAGGCCAGGTTGGATGGAGCAGCCTGGAAGTGTGGAACGTGTCCCTGCCCATGGCAGGGGGTTGGAACAGTATGTTCCTCAAGGTCTCCTTCTAAGCCAAACCATTCTGTAATGCTGTGACTGTAAAACATGGTTGTGGAACAGAACATCCCAGTTCTGAGCTGGGATGAAGGAGGAAGAAAGGAAGGGGCTGCGTGCCACAGAACGGTGTCTGGCCCTACTCTGAGAATTTTTTTGCATGCTTGTCATCCAGGTTTGTTTCAGCCACCAGCTCAGTAAAATGCAGTGTGCTAGTCTGATAGAGCAATCAAACGAGCGTTAAAGCAGCTGTGTCACATATGGCTCCTGAAATATCACACTGGCTCCTAACACCAGTACAGTCCTGGAAAAGTTACTGTCAAATGTTAAAAATGCTGCCATTTCCTCAAGAATGGCTTAATAACAGAGGTTTTTGGCTTTGTAAACTAAGCTCATTATGATTTAATTTCTCATTTAAGATAAACCATCTCCCCTCAGTTCCTTGTACAGAAATTGAAAATGCAGGATGAAAAAATGAGGGAGAAGTATAACTCACAATTTTTGTCCCTTTCCTGCAGCTGCACTGGGGACTTCTTAACCTCCCCATGCTTTATATGATCACATAAAATAACTCTCTGTGTAACAACTCAAAATGTTACAGGCCTACTGACGCTCTTGATTTTTATGATTTGGACGTAAAACACAAATGTAATTCCTAAAATGAGCAAAGAACCTAAATGCCATGTACATTTTAAAAAGTAACACCCCAAATTCCAGCTGCAAGCAGCTTTCCAAGGGGCAAAATTAAAAGCAATGAAATCTGCCAACCCTCAAAGGAGGGAATTTTTATCACTATGCCAAATGGAATCATTACTTCACTACTCCAGTTAAAAATACACACGGGTTATTAGGGCTACATCGGTGGGTGTTTACTAGGTCTGTTTTTTAGTATGATAGAAATTACTAAAATTGGAATGTAAGATAACTGTGTAGGGTAGATATCCCTTAACGCTGTACATGCTGTTGCAAGTTCACTACAGCCTTACGCAATCACTGAGTCAGCTGCAGTCAGCGGGAATGTGGTTCACAGGAATCTGGTTCTTTATGGGAATCTTGTTAATGGGAATCTGGTTCTTTAAGGGAATCTGGTTCTTTACAGGAATCTGGTTAATGGGAGTCTGGTTCTTTAAGGGAATCTGGTTACCGGGAATCTGGTTCATGCATCCGCCGGGTTAAGATACGATTGTGCCCGCGGTTCCCAGCCAGGATCTGATGGAGCCAGCCTGTTCCTCTCCTGGGTGAGCACTCACCGGTGCCCGTGTGTCAGCCCAGCTCTCGCTCGGTGGGCTCGGGCTGGATCCCGGCGCTGGTTCGGGTTTTCCGCGCCCGGGTCCCGCTGCCCGGCGGCTCCATCTGGCGGCAGCCGCGGCTCGGGAGAGCCCGCAGCTCCCCTCACGGATCTGGGGAGCCCGCAGCTCCCCTCACGGACCTGGGGAGCCCGCAGCTCCCCTCACGGACCTGGGGAACCCGCAGCTCCTCTCCCGGACCTGGGGAACCCGCAGCTCCCCTCACGGATCTGGGGAGCCCGCAGCTCCGCGCCTGCCCCTCAGGAAGGGCCTCCTGAGCACACGCAGGGACAGCTTTGCTCCGGGTGCAGACGTTCTTGTGTTTTTTCATTCTAGGAGCTGGTGGAATGAGAGCAGCTCAAGGCAGTCCTGCTGCACATCCGATCCTGTCAATAATCTCACTGCATTCGCTCTCTGTTTAGGGACTGGATCATCTCTCTTAGGAGGACAGGCTGAGGGAATCGGGCCTGCTCAGCCTAGAGAAGACATCCCATCCCTGTGTCAGCGCCCACGGGAGGTGGCAGAGCACGGACCAGCTCTCAGCAGTGGAACAAGAGGCACAGGCAGGAGCTGATGCCCAGGACGTTCCACCTGAACATGAGGAGAACTTTCCTGTGCAGTGCCCGAGCACTGAACAGGCTGCCCACAGAGGGTGTGGGGTCTCCCTCACTGGGGACATTCCACAGCAATCCTGGACACAATCCTGGGCCATGAGCTCTGTGTTGGCCCTGCTGGAGCAGGGAGGTGGGGCCACTGTGTTCCCTGCCAACCTGACCCATTCTGTGATTCCCTATTCACTGTGGTGAGCTGGGCTCTTAATAAATGTCATTGCTCTTCCCCCATATCTTTTATCCAGCATTGATTCACTGTTTCATTTCCTGTATCAGGATGTTTTATATTTTTTTCCTCTTCAGGTTACTAGAATCTCCATGCTTTTAACAATCAAGATAAAAAACCACATTCCCTTTTACCCCCAAAATGCTCATTATGTGTCAAAAGCAGGCATAAGAAATCAACCCACAGCAGTGGTGCACTGGCATTCTGGTTTGAAGAGCCTCTTGGCAGATTTCTGTCAAAGGCTTCCCTAACATACAGCAGAACCCAAAATGACTGCAATCTCCTTCATTGTGTCCTCAGCCTCATGCTTGCACAGCTTTTGACACACTAAGAGATAGGCCAAGGGGCACCACAAATGGTTTCAGCTGCAGAGGGACTGTTGCTACCAAAACAATGATTCATTCTGGCTTTCAGCCTGTCCTTTAGTACATCTTGGGAAAATACTCATAGGAAGCAGGCTGAGTCTGGAGAAACTGTCCAGAGATACCTGATCCAATTATCTGAAACACCTCTTACTTACACAGGAAACCCTGACAGATATTTTTATTCCAAGATGAGACACTTAATCGTTTTGCACAGAAAAAAGGTTGTTTCTCTACATTTTATTCCATGCTACAAAATCCCAGAGAAAACATGAGGATTAGGCAACTGTATGTGACAGAATTAGTTTCATCATTTCACCTAGTTGCACCTTTTCTTTTCCTTAAAATCTTGAATTTTTTTATTATCAGAATGGCAAGACAAAGAACCATTCCAAACTTGAGGTGTGCATGAAGTAATATTGATCTGCTTGTCTAAGTTTGCAAAGCACCTAAAAATACTCTGAAGGTTTTCCTTTTCTGTCAATGCATTGCTTGGATATGGGTGAGGATAGTTTGACTTACAATGTTAGCTCAAGCAAAGAGAAAAGAGGAAAAAGGAAGAAATGCCACATGTTTTCCAGAACATGTGGTGAGATTGGGCCACAGAGAAGAAAGGGGATGGAGGATGTAACAAAGCAAGTTTCTAATCGCATCCCAGTTTAGGAGAGTATGGGATTCCTGTTGTTTCCCCTCAAAGGCTGGAAACCCCTTTCCTGTGCTGCAGTGATGAAAAGCTGCTTTGCTTATCCCTGCTATCTCTGATATCTCTCCAGACAACGCTGCAGTGATGAAAAGCTGCTTTGCTTATCCCTGTCTCTGATACCTCTCCAGAGAAGTTCCATCTTCCCTAGGTACTGTAATACCCTGGTATGCATGCTCTTACAGGGGCACAGCAATCACAGCAGCTGTTCTGGAAGAGTCTGCCACTTTGCAGTGATCATTGGAACCTTTCCTTCTTGACAACACAACAGTTTTATAACTTCTGAGCTCCTCATATTATACTCAGGATTGCCAGGAGAATGGTGAGCCTTCACAGGATCAAACAAGGCACAACTGTATCAAAAAAGAAAATGAATATGGAAGAAATGCTACAGCATTTAAATCCTTAAACAGAGCTACTCAGTAAGGGAAATTTGCAACTGCAGAATGGCTTTTTAAAAGGAATGAGAAAAGGCAACATTTCTAAAATCAGGAACATAACTCCAGTTGTCACCTATTAACACTCTTTACCCCTGAGCAGGAAGGTGTAAATAATACAGTAGAAATGACCAAATCACTGCAGGAAGACACAATAGCAGGTTACTGAGATCCACTACAAGCAAAGCATATGCTTGATGGCAAATCTTTTCCCCATTTCCTACACGAGATATTCATCGGGGTCTGACTTCTAATTGAATGCAAATAAAGAATAACAGGTTTTTGCATATGAAGTGAAGCTATAGAACATCTGCCTCTTCACAGCCTTTCAGTGTACCTTATGTGATATTAAGCAAAGAAGAGGTTTGCCTCATCAGCTTGTAAGAAATGGTAAATTTGAAGAACAGTGTGAGAGAACTAAATCATTCCACTTCTGCTGTAAAAGGTGTCTCTTTGATATCCCCATGTACTCCTAGGTGATAAAATGCCAAGTTCGGCAAAATCAGTTTCAATGCCAAAAAGATGGACTACTGGTGCAGAAGGTCACAAAACACTATTAATTGCCTTATATCATCTCAGTCTTGAAAGATGATCCAAAAATACAGGCTAGTGCTTTG